GCAGCCGCCGGCGTGGGATGATCTGACGGCGCCCCCTCGGGCATCCGCCGCAGCAGCACCGCCGACGCCGCCGCCGCCGCCGCCGCCGGAGGAGCCGCGCTCGGCCGCCCGTGGAGGTCTCTGCCCCGATGGCTCGGCCCTGGCAGGCGCCCCTCGGGGGGCTCTTGGGGGCGCTCCTCCTCCTCCTCCTCCTGCCGCCGCTCCCCGGCGCGCTGGGCAGCTCGGGCGGGCACGGCGAGGGCGAGGGCGAGGGCAACGGCACCGTCGCCTACCAGATCGTCACCTTCAAGTGGCTCCACGTCAAGGACCCCTACATCATCGCCCTCTGGATCCTGGTGGGCAGCCTGGCCAAGATCGGTGAGTGGGCGCCGCCGGGGATCCCTCTTGCCAGCCCTCCTGCCGCCGGGTGGGACTGGGACGGGCCCCTGGGCCAGGGCCGGGAAGCCTCCCCCCCCGCCGCCGCCACCACCCCCGGAGGAGCCGCGGGCTCGGCACTCTGGGTCTCGGGGGTGCCCGGGGGGCGCTGGGCTCTGCAGGAGGAAGACCCTCTGGGCGAGGTGAGGGCCCTAGAAGGCAGGCCCCTAGCCAGGGTTTTATCATTCAGGGGGCGCTGACCTCACAAAATAAAATAGAAATGTTAAGAATTCAGTTTTGCAGCCTTCACACACTGCCTGCCTATGGAAGCAAGCCAGGCTTGGGGAAGGGGAGGCGGCGGGGAGTCCTCTGGGTGGCTCAGAGAGTTGGAGGTCCCCTGGGCAGCCCAGAGGGGGGGGGGCCTGGATAGAAGTCGGGGCCTCGGCAGGAAGTTGGGGCCCCCCCGAAATGCCCCACTGTAGCTACGGGCCTGCTAGAAGGACCCTGATGTTTACTGGAGAGCCAGCCGGGGTGGGAGATGGGGTAGTGGTTGGTTGATCCGAGAGACTCGGGTTCGAATTCCCACTCGTGCCAGGAAGCTCGCTGGGTGACCTTGGGCCAGTCACGCACTCTGGGCCTAGCCCACCTCACAGGGTTGTTGTGAAGATGAAAGTGGCAGAGGAAGAGGTGAGCCGGTTTGGGTCCCCGTTGGGGAGAAAGGTGGGATAGGGGGAAGGTAAATAATTTTTTTAAAAAAATTGACATCCTCCCCAAACTGCCCTCTCCCCAAGGAGAGCTGCCCCGGGGCCAAGAAGCACTGGCCGACCTCTGCAGGAAAACATTCCCCTGGACTGTGCCCTTCCTCGCTTTCATTCGGGGCTTTCCCCCAAAATAGACTGACTGCAGTTGTCCAGGCTGGGACCCACCTGAGCCCCCCCCCCCAATTACGGTTTCCTTCCCCATGTGGCTGTTGGAATTGGTTCAGGTTTGTCCTGGTGCTGCTATGTAGCGTTCCGCTCAGCTGGTTGGATGTTTCGGTCCCGTGTGGTTTTTGTGATGGCTCAGGCTCGCTGCCTTGCGGTGATTCCTGAGGCTCCCTAGGATAGCGAAGGCTTCCAGTAGGTTCTGCACAAGCCGACCGCAGAGGAAGACCCTTATCAGAGCCAGGCAGGATGTCTCAAAGTAGTGCCGAGCTTTCGTGGACCCCAGAACTTTGTGTTGTATTGGATGTTAAAGCAAATGGGGGGGATTTTTTTGGGGTGCAATGGAACCCCAAATGTGCAGACTGTGCTTAAATGGAGCAGAGGAGGTCAACGGGGGAGTGGGGGGGGAGTAGTTTTGGATTTTCCTGCGTTGTGCAGGGGGGTTGGACTAGATGACCCTTGCGGTCCCTTCCATCTCCGTGTCTCTCGTGCTGGGTGCAAAGAAGAAATTTGCACTTTTCAGACTCGGTAGGGTTTTTTAGGGAAAGCAGCCAAAGTGTCAGTGGCAAAATGAACGTGCTGTGCCATCTGTCGGGAGGGGGCAGGCACATTTCAATGGCCAGGGGTTCTCACAGTCCGTCATTCCCGACTGCGGCCACCTGTGGCAACTACACGTCCCGCCCGTTCATGAGGAGTGTCGATTTTGGCAGCGGCTTCTTAGCCAAAAGCATCAGGGCACTGATGCGTTTTGGAAAGTTCAAATCGGGAAGTCTGAACCAAGGAAGAAGGTTGTATGGGCGCTGCAGCATCTGGTGTGTGTGTGTGTGGGGGGGGAGACGGGGAGGGACATGGGTCTGTGTGCCATAGGTGGGATTTCCTTGGCCTCCAACGCTGGTGGAGCCATGCACACGGTCTCCTACGGGGCGTGCCTCGCTTTACAGATGCTAATGTGTCACTAACAGACTAGCAGGTTCTTTTGAAGCGCACCGGTTTCACTCTGACTCTTCTCGGAAAACTGTGGCTGGGATGTCAGCCTTTCCGAGGGAGTGCTCCAGTTTTCATGAGCCTGCACACACACACCCCTCCTCTGATCCCTGGGAGCCGCCGTGCGCTTTTGATGGCACTAGTATTTGCTGCAGCCGCCCTGGTTCTGCCAGCAGTGCTGTGCAAAGGGCTGGTGGCTGTAGGGCTAAATCAAAGCCTCTCGAAAGGCAGGGAAAGTATCGTGCGGCTCTTTAGCTTGGAGAAAAGACAGCTGAGGGGTGACATGATCGAGGTTTATAAGACTATTCACTGCCTCACTGTGGAATTAAAGCCTGAGATTTATTTGTTAAACATAGTAACGGGGGATCGACAAATACAAAGAGAAATGTATGTTCTGCTGTATATCTTAACAATTTCTAGGATTTTGTTAGCAAAATATTGGAAGACGGATAGAATACCAACTCGAGAAGAAATTGCCTTAAAAATGATGGGAGCTGCGGAAATAGATAAGATGCATGCACAATTGCACGGGACGGATGATAAGATAGTTAATAAAAGATGGACAAGAGTAAGAGAATTGGTAGAATGTAATGTGTAGAGGGCTCACGTGTTGAAAACTTGAAGATGTAAAGTATTTGAACATAATGTACTAAAAACCAATAAAAATGTTTACCAAAAAAAAAAGATTATTCACTGCCGCAAGGTGTGGCGGCGACTACAAGCATAAGAACATAAGAACATATGCCAATGTTGGATCAGGCCAAAGGCCCATCCAGTCCAACACTCTGTATCACACAGTGGCCAGAAATACCAGTGCCATCAGGAGGTCCACCAGTGGGGCCAGGATGGAGGGAATTAGATAAGCATACGGAGCAGAGGTCCATCGGTGGCTATTAGCCACAAAGTATAGATAGGATCTCTCGGCCTGGGGCAAGTGATGCTCTGTATTCTTGGTGCTGGGGGGGGAACAAGAGTGGGAGGGCTTCTAGTGTCCTGGCCCCACTGGTGGACCTCCTGGTGGCACCTGGTATTTTTAGCCACTGTGTGACACAGTGTTGGACTGGATGGGCCACTGGCCTGATCCAACATTGGCTTCTCTTGTGTTCTCATGTTTGGGAGTGTTTAGGAACCTGCCTCTTCCCTCCATGTGTTCACTCACTGTAGGAAGCCTTGGCCTAGCCCAGGAGCCACCGTCTAAGGGGAATTGCCACACAGGTTGGGATCTAGTGGCACCTTAGAGGCCAACAAGATTTTCGGGGTGTACGCTTTTGAGGGTCAAAACTCCCTTCACCAGTCCCCTTCGCAGACTGTGAAGTGGCTCTCAGAGAGTCGCCCGGTGCCAGTTTGGTGTCGTGGTTAAGTGCGCGGACTCTAATCTGGGAGAACCGGGTTTGATTCCCCACTCCTCCACTTGCACCTGGCTGGATGACCTTGGGCAAGCCGTAGTTCTGTCAGAGCTGTTCTTGAAAAGAGCAGTTTCTGTCAGAGCTCTCTCAGCCCCACCGACCTCACAGGGTGTCTGTTGTGGGGAGGGGAAGGGGAAGGAGTTTGTAAGCCACTCTGACACTCCAAGTGAAGGGTGGGATATAATCCAATCTCCTCCTCCTCCTTTTCTTCTGGGTCTTTTGTCCATCATCCATGATACAGAGTGTCATGTTTGGGCTATGAACTTACATTCCTTGGAACAAATGTTACTTTTTGTATCTATATCGCTTAGGTGCAGAAGGCCATGGCTCAGTTGAAGAGCCTCTACTGTGGCATGCAGTGGTTTGCCACCGTGAGACAGGATGCTGGACTAGATAGACCACCACTGGTTCAGTCCCCAGCATCTCCGGTTAAAAAGGACCAGGCACTAGGTGATCCGAAAGACCTCTGACTGGCAGTCTGAGTAGACAATGCTGACCTTGATGGACTGATAGTCTCACTCAGTACAAAGGGAGCTTCATGTGAAAGTCAAAAGTTTATCCCCAAAAAGGGGTTGGGGAGGGGCAGGGCTATTTTTGGGCAGGAACGCACAGGGACGGAGTTCCAGCTGGCTCCTGAGTTGGCCACGCCCAGCAGGAACTCATTAGCATAACAGGCCACACCCAACAGCAGAAACTCATTAGGATTGGCTACATTAGGGGTGTGTGGCCTGACATGCAAAGGAGTTCCTGCTACAAAAAAAGCCCTGGGTTTTGACAACAAACAAGGTAAACAGAATAAGAAGCAAAAGGTGGGTGTGGCTGGATGAGCACACTTCTGGTAACATGGGTGTGTGTGGCCTAATATGCCAATGAGCTGTGCTATCAGGGGTGTGGCCTAATATGCTAATGAGTTTCTGCTGTTAGGTGTGGCCTATTGTGCTAATGGGTTCCTGCTGGGCTTTTTCTACAAAAAGAGGGGGGGGGTCGGGGCCTAAAGAAGGTGAAAGTGAAAGATGGAGATAGAACAAATTTAGAGTCCAGGGGCAGCTTTAAGATGATCAAAGGTTTATTCAAGGTGTGAGCTTTCGTGTGCAGGCACACTTTTCCAAATATGCTGGAATGGTGGGTAAGTTTCGAACTTATAGACAGGGGCTGAGCAGCAAATGAACATGTAACATGATGAAGATGTGCCAAGATGAAACAAAACAACAAGCTGAGGTTATAAGGGCAACAGTTGTAAAGTAATAAATATGTCAGAATAGCAGATAAATGTGTAAAGGTATCTTTTCTACTTGTGGCCGATAAACTGATACTCTCCATTCTCTCCTCTCAGGCGTGGAGGTCACTTAATAGCATTTTTTGGACATGTTTATTGCTTTCCAACTGTTGATCCTATAACCTTAGTTTGTTCTTTAGTTTTGCATTTGCACATCTTCATCATGTTACATGCTAATTTGCTGCTCAGCCCCTGTCTATAAGTTCGAACCTTACCTACCATTCCAGTGTATTTGGTGTAGTGGTTTAGTGCGCAGACTCTAATCTGGGAGAACCGGGTTTGATTCCCCACTCCTCCACTTGCACCTGCTAGATGACCTTGGGCAAGCCGTTGTTTTGATAAGCGCTGTTCTTGAAAAAGAGCAGTTCCTGTCAGAGCTCTCTCAGCCCCACCTACCCCACAGGGTGTCTATTG